ACACACACACACACACACAAACAAACTTTAAAGTACAACATACATGCACTACACATCGTGTGTGAACTGCAGGGTTCTCAATATCACACACCCAGCACATGTCGACTATCGATCTAACATACCGAGTGATCACCTCATTCTTCCACGACAAAACTTACTTGTACTCGGATATATCATCGACGTCACAAGCAATTCACACACGTCCACATTTTTAGAATTTTCGATGTTTACACCCTCACAAAGGTATATCAGATATGTATTTTTCAACATCACCAAAATGCAGTTTGTTATGTCCAAGGCTTTCACTTTTCACCTGTTAAAAACACCGCAACACATTTTGTTCCTTTTTTTTGGGGGGGAGGGGGGTTGTCTCTGGTTTAAACAGAGATTAGAAGGACTCTGTGGATTGTTTGTGACACTGATGATACAGGCTGTGCATTTGCCGGCCTCAGCTAAAATATGATTGCTGTTTAGAGTTTTAGTTTGTCGACAGTTTTATGACACTAGTTACAACACAAATGTCTCTGTCCCTGTCATTGTCCCTGTCCCTGTCTCTGTCTTTGTCCCTGTCTCTGTCCCTGTCTCTGTCCATGTCTTTGTCCCTGTCTCTGTCTCTGTCCCTCTCTCTGTCTCTCTCCCTGTCCCTGTCTCTGTCCGTCTCTGTCCCTGTCTCTGTCTCTGTCCCTGTCTCTGTCCCTGTCTCTGTCCCTGTCTCTGTCCATGTCTCTGTCCCCGTCTCTGTCTCCGTCCCTGTCTCTGTCCCTGTCATTGTCCCTGTCTCTGTCTCTGTCCCTGTCTCTGCCTCTGTCCCTGTCTCTGCCTCGGTCCTTCTCTCTGTCTCTGTCTCTGTCCGTCTCTGTCCCTGTCTTTGTCCCTGTCTCTGTCTCTGTCCCTGTCTCTGTCCCTGTCATTGTCCCTGTCTCTGTCCATGCCTCTGTCCCTGTCTCTGTCCCTGTCCCTGTCTCTGTCCCTGTCTCTGTCCCTGTCTCTGTCCCTGTCC